GTGCAGGCCGCTTTGTTCGTTACCAGTTCACCCCAGCATTTCTTCGTCTTCGGACTGTTGGTGCAACGTGAGTATGCGTTCACAGAAATCTGAGGGGAAAATCAGCTGTGCCACTGAGCAGCTTATAGCTAGAATCAAGGACTTGAGAGAACTCAACTGTACACTAACAATGTAAAGTATTTTTCTGGAACGATCTGTTGGGTTCTTGTGCAGTTTCAGGTCCAAGGCTCTGTGTTTTGCAGTAGGAAGAGAAGGCTTTCTTACCTGTTTTTTCCTACTTTTTTCTTACAGAGTGGAATTTACAGTGGGAGAAAAGCCAGTGTCAAACTTCCGAATGATTGAGAGGCATTACTTCCGAGATCGCTTGCTGAAGAACTTTGACTTCGATTTTGGCTTCTGCATCCCCAGTAGCAGGAACACATGTGAGCACATCTATGAGTTCCCTCAGCTCTCAGAAGATCTCAGTAAGTATTTCCTTTCTGCTGCAAGCTGTGTGCGTGTGTGCTCATTTTCTCTCTCTCTCTTTCTACTTGTGCAAAAAATTGTGACGGGGATGGAGGGATGGAATTAAGCTGATTTAAGATGCACTTAATCCCAAGTCACAGACTTGTGCTGCAGATTATCCATCTTAGAAATGAAAGCCTAAGGCAGCCTGCATTGTCAAGTCACAGGCTGCAAGAAGAGCTGCCCAGTGATGGGGCTGTCATCCCCAGTGCCTAACAGTGCAGTGCAGAAGATAACAAAACCCTGGAAAAGGGTTCTCTTAGCAGTCACACATCTGTTTTCAGCACTTGCTTTTTAGGTCTTGAGCCTCTAGCTTTGAAGCAGAACTGGTTTTTCTCTTGAGAGGTGTGTTTTTGAGCCTACCAAGATCTCTGCAAATATGCATTGCGCAGGGTATGTTTGCCCTGGGGGTGGATTGAGCAGAGCACATGGGCACTTCTGTGGCTGCCTGAGTGCAGGGTTTGTACCTCACATGTACACCAGTGGAGAGTGCAGCTGCTTTCTTTTATTTACAGGTTGCAGCCTCTCTGCTTTCAGACAATGGTTTCTGCTGTGCTCTAGTGGTGGCTCTGACTGTTTCTGTGTCTTATGTGAGATTGCTCCACCTCTGTTTGCTTTTGACAGTGCCCTGTGAATAGGAAGAATAGGTAGGGCATGCCAGAGCTTTTAATGCGTGCCCAGCCGATCTGTTTGCTTCTCTTGGATAGGGCAGAGCATCAGCCTGGTGCATCCCACTGAGTGTCCTTTTTTGTTCTGACTGCACTGCCCAGCAGAGTGTGACAGGCTTCTAAATGTAATTGAGCTTTCTCTTTCACAGTCCGTCTGATGGTTGAAAACCCATACGAGACCCGCTCAGACAGCTTTTACTTTGTGGACAACAAGTTGATAATGCACAACAAGGCCGATTATGCTTACAATGGAGGACAGTAATCATGATATGGCTGCTGGAAGCTGTGCTGCCATTAACCATTCCAGATGTCCAGGACTGGACTGGACTTGCTCTCTCATGCAACAAGGCTTCCTGTCAAACCTTTTCTTCTTGCATGAGGCTGAGCACATGAAGCAAAGAAGACAGCTCGCAAAAGTAAAGGAAATCTCCCTGCAACGCTTCACTATCCAACACCCATAACATATCCAGCCTCTGTCATTCTCCATTTCCGGATGCCTTTTGGTACCCTGGTTAGGTTATGGATCAGAGGCACTGTTTAAAAATTATTGCTGTTACAATTTTTATAGGTTAGGTTGCACTTCTAGTGCTCCCGATGTTTCACCTATTGGGTGACTACCCTCTTCCAAGAGGTCAAATTATTTGGGTAAGCTATTTCTTAGCAGGAAAATTTGCTGCCTTGAGGTAGCCAGTGACATCTGAAAAGCAGATCTCTTCTTCAGTTGGATAGATCATCTCTTTGGTGCCTAGTGGCTTAGTTTGTAGCATGGGTGAGATAGCTTTTAGGGTGCATTCCAGTATTCTCCAGTGGGAAAGATAAAATAAGAGACTAATTCAGCTTCTGAGTTGTGCAGGAATCTTCTCTTCCCCCTCCAGGTATTTGAGCTGCTCTTGGGAATGGTTTGGTCTGTGTTTTACCAGAGATATCGCTGGAGGTACGCAATAGGAGAAAAAAGGGACCTTATCCAGGTTGATCATTTAGTTGTTCCAATAGCGTTTCTGTTTGAGCTTATTCAAGCAAATTGCTGAATTTTGGAGCTCAAGGGTCGACCTTGGAGCTGAAGTTAATCTCAGTGTATTTATCATTTCTCATTTCTACTGCTTCCCTTTGTGTAGGATTTTTGGCTTTTACTACAGAATGGACTGGTTTTGAACTGACAGCACATTGTCAGCCTAGCTGGGGTGGAGGGGAGATTTCAGTCTGGTGAGGTGTAGAGGAAGAAGGGAGAATGTGGAAAAACCACTTGAAAAACATGTAGGGAGCAAAGCTTCCTAGGCTTCAATCTCTGTATACATCATAGTGTTTTAAACCTGACTGTCAGAGGTGCAGGAAGGAGAGATGGTGGTGTCACCAGCTCACTTGCTTTCTTTCAGTTGAGGTACTAGCAGCTGAAACCTTCCCTAGTCAGATTACTCAGTGTTACAGAGTGGGATTCTTAATGACCAAACTGTGAGAATTAATATGATGATTCTTAATTGTTTGAGATCCTATCACTGCTTTGTATCCTTAGTTGCTTATTTATGTTTCAAGATGTTCTTCTGCTGAGGTAGTTTCTGCCAGACCAAAGGGTGTCTTTTGCAGCAGCGCTTTGGGATCTGGCAATAGGAAATAGCACCATGCCCTGGGAAGTGGAGACCCCATCCTCCCAGCAGCCGTGCTGGCGTCCAGCTCTGACCATGCAGAACCTCAGCTAGGAAAACCCTTTCCTGTGTATTTTGCTGGCTCAAGATGAGGATTGTTTGCATCCCCTCCCTGAGCTGATCAGCCACCTCTGCTGCACGTGGGAGCTAAGTTGTGTCTGGGCTGGAGACTTCGGCTAGTGTTAGTTCTGCTTGTTCACCTAGAGAGCTGAGAACCAACTCCTCAGCAGATACATTATGATTCAGTGCAGATTATTGCCTCAGCAGGATTAAATGAGGTGGGCATCCCAGCCTTTTAATGCGTAGATAGCAATAGGAAGCCACTGCCTTAACCTTGCAGATTAACAATGTAGGTTTGGTGCAGAGGATCGGCGGGTGACGAGGTAAGCAGTGAGAGTATGTGTGGTGGCAGTCCTGAAAGAATCTCCAGCTCTTGGGAAGGATTTTAATTACGATTAACCACAACAAACGACTTGTTCGGGTGGAGTATTAATCATGAGCAACCACAACAGATGTCTCGGGAATGCAGAGGGGCGAGGCTGAAAGATGAAGGGCAGTTCTGCTCCATTCGATCCCTTCCAGCATCTCCACGGGCACTGGGGCAATCTCATTAGTTGTTTCAGAATTAGCAAAGCTGCTCATGAGGTGGGAGCTCAAGCTGCCTCTTGCAGTGACTGCCTTCAGATGGCCCCGTGCTGTGCTGGCAAGGGGAAATTCAGTTGTGCTGCAGGAATGGGCGGTGCTTGCAACAAGGCAGAGCAGCCTGGGAGGGTGTTTTCCATCCTGGAGCATTGTGAGATACTCAGGGTCAGGTCAGAAGAGGCTGCCGGGTGTTTCCAGGACGTTGTAGCATATTGAGGTGAATTTATATGTAGTATTAATCCAGGTGCCTTGTAACATTCCTTTTACCTTTCTGTATGAAGCAACCTCCTGCTTTTCTTACGAATGTGACGATTCTCGTCTGTTTTCTGTATCACTGAGTAAAGATACTTAAAATGGAGACAGACCATTGCCAGAGGAGCAGTGAGGACTGAGCCAGGGGACAACACAGCTGTGCAGGTCCGGTGCTCACGGGGCACTGGGTGCCATCTGACTGCTGCTCTGAGCAGCAGAGAGCACTGCTGGGTGTGAGTGAGTTCAGGGCCCGTAGGAAAGGGGATTTCTGTCTGAAGCAGTCATTACCTCAGCCAGCAGGGATGAGGAAAAAGCATTGAGGCAATGCTTTTCCATTTATAAATGTATCATCTATTCAGCAATAAGTAAAGGAAGACCAAAGGAAAGCTGGGGGTTGTGCAGGCAGTACTCGCACCCCATTGTGGGCCTTTGCCCACAAACATGCTGCAGGAAAAAAGTCCTTAAAAGAAGGCACCCCAGCATTAAAAAGACTTGATTGTAACCACAAAGTCAGCAATTTCCAACCTCATCCTCGTGGCAGGGATGCTGTCTTTGGTAAACGTGATTCTATGGAGCATCATCCTTCCTTTTGGTGTGATGTGGTGCTGTAGGGATGGATCAGAGCTGCTCGCAGGGGAGATGGGGGGAGAGGATGGGACCTGATTTGTGAGCTGAGTGCTGTCCCAGCAGGCACAGTGTGTGTGTAAGGTCACACAGCAGAGCTGGGAGAAGAGCTGGGATTGTAGCGTGCTCAGTGATAACAGCACAGGGGCCAACAGCGATCCTCCAGCAGCACAGAGACGAGCATCACTTCTACAGCAGCACGGGGAGCAGCGCCGCGCCCACACCGAACCTCTCCAGTGTTGCCCTGTGAAGACCGGCCTCGCTGCGCGCTCCTGGGCTGCGGACTCCCGACAGCCGTCCCACGGCCACACGGGCTGCTCCTGCTGACGTCCGTCTGTCCCCGTCCTCCGCCCTCTCTGAGCGGCGTCTTCCTCCGCGGTGCCCCCGTGCCGCGCCGTCCTCTGGTGCTCGGTGCCTCCCGTAGCGGAGGGTTGGGACGAGCGCCTCGCCCCGCTCAGCAGCGCCCCCCTGCGGTGAGGCGGCGCGGCGGCGGTTTGGACGCGCGAGGCAGTGGCGCTGCTGCCGCCCCGCGTGGAATAAAGGAACCTCCCGGTTTCGTACGGCGGCGTACGGCGTTGGGGGCGGGGCTGAGGGGCTGGGAAGGGGCGTGACCTCGAGTCGTCTCGCGCCGTTCCCGCCTGATGACTTGCGCATGCGCAGTGCTGCTCCTCGCGCTCCCTCAGGCGCGGCCATGGCGGCGGCGGCGGCGGCGTTGGCGTTTCTCGTGACCCGCGGCGGAGGGCTGCCCAGGGGTGAGGGCGCGGAGCCCGGCCTCGCTCCGCCGCGGCTGCCGGGAGGATCCGAGGGGCTGCGTGTGGGGGTCGGGAGTGGCCGCGGCCCGAGCGGGGCGGCGGTCCAAGGCGCCCCGGTGCCCTTCAGGGCCTGAGGCCGCGTCCGATGGCAGCACCGCTCTCAGCGCGGGTCCAGGGGTCCGGGGGGGGGGGGGGGGGCGGGAGGCGAAGAGACGCGGCGCCTCACGGCTCTGCCCTCCCTCAGCGCGGACCCTGGGGTCCCTCCGCCGGCTGCACACGGTGTACCAGACGGTGGAGCTGCCGGAGACACACCAGATCCTGCGACAGACGTGCCGGGACTTCGCCGAGAAGGAGCTGATGCCGCTCGCGGCTCAGCTGGACAAGGAGCACCGCTTCCCGGCCGAGCAGGTGCGCGCTGCCCTGCGGTGGGCGCCTTTCTAACCGTGCCCGGGGAAGGAAGCCGCTGCTGGGGGCTTTTTTGGCACGGAGCGTCCTCTGACCTTCGTACCAAGAAACGTTCCGTGGGTTTCGTTCTGCTGGCTCGGCAGCGGGCTGAGGTTTAGGCCTGCTTTTAGGAGAGCTGTCTGAGTGTGGAAGCTGCAGTGTGCGTTCTGCGCTCCTCAGCTGCTCGTGTTCTCCAGCGTTAGCACCACTGAATTGTCAGTTCTCCGAGCAGGTCCTCTGTGGGAGCAGAACGGTCAGGAGGTAGGAGGTGATAGCATCTGGTCGGTGCTGTGTCTGTTATATGTGGTCTGTTAAGATTCCACATAGACCTCTGACTCCTCACTTGGAAATCAGTACAGCAGATTAGTGTCACGTTGAGCAGGTGAATTCACTCATTCGCGTACAAGACATATGCTGTTGAATTTGAATGTGTTGGAGAAATTTGGAAGTGTAAACAGTATTTATTAACATTATCGAATCATGGAGTGGTTTCGGTTGGAAGGGACCTTTAAGATAATCCAGTTCCACCCCGCTGCTATACGCAGAGACACCTCCCAGCAGGCCAGGTTGCTCAAAACCCCATCCAGCCTGGCCTTTATTGCTTCCAGGGGGGAGGGGCATTCACAACCTCATTGTTCCAGAGTCTCACCACCCTCACAGTAAAGAATTTCTTCCTACTTTCTAGTTTAAATCTGCTCTTTTCCAGTTTTAAACCATTTCCCTTTACCCTGTCCCTACCTGCCCTTATAAACATCCCTCCCCAACTTTTATGTGGGCCCCTTTCAGGCTCTGGAAGGCCTGAATAAAGATAAAGCAACTTACATAGAATGAACTGCTATCCTTTGTTCATCCTCTGCATTTGATATGGTGGACAAATGTTCTGGCTGTCCATGCAGGAGGGAAAATACTTGTTTTAGAATTCCTCACAGGTTCTGTGAAAGCATACACAGCTTGGTAATGCACTTAACTTCACTGAAAGATTGGGCTAAATTTGATGTTGCATTTAAAATGTAAAAACAGAGGAAAGCTTGTTTTTCCTTTCGTATATTTTTAGATGTTATTAAGACATGCAGTGTGAGATGATGTGTGCTCTGAAGAGCTTCCAGTTATGAGGCCAGGGTCCAGCTGAGGAATTTAGGGTTGGAATAATTTGGAATGTGTTGAACACATTTTTTTGGAAAGCAAGACGTGGCTTAAGTGGGAACGAAAAATCACCTTTTTGCAAACTGCTGTGTGGGTCTTTCAATTCATAACGTTCTTCCGTGGTGCAGTCGTGGGGTGAAGCACAGCAGTCTCAAAGATAGAGTTCTAATGATTTTCATTAGCAAGCTGACAAGAGAAATGTGATGGGAGAAGTTCTGGTGAGAAGTGGAGAAAATCCTGGTGGGGCTGTAGCACCATATTTCACCTTTAAAAGGCTCCCTCCTTTCCTAATACTGAAGACAGCTCTTGAAATGAGCAAGAGCTCATCCAAGCCAGCAGTGACCGTGTATAGCTCTCAGTGAAGTCATGTGGCCACACTTAGCAGTTTGTGCGGCCAGATTCCTATTTCAACAGGAGTTGCACACATTGTTCCTCCGTGTGTAGCCCTGCTGTGACCTGACTTTGTGTGTCTGCATGTGTTTGCTGGTGCAGAGAATCTTACTTCTGCTTTTCCCACATGCAGGTGAAGAAGATGGGTAGCCTGGGGCTGTTGGCTGTGGAAGTGCCAGAGCAGTTCAAAGGAGCTGGCCTCGACTACCTGGCCTATTCCATTGCCTTGGAGGAGATCAGCAGGGGCTGTGCGTCCACAGGCGTCATTGCCAGTGTCAATAATGTGAGTGTCTCAAGGCTGTGCGTGAGGGACAGGCGTGGAGCCGAGTCTGAGAACGGGGTGGCTGTTGGAGAGGGGTGTATGTGAGAAATGGGATCCTGTTGTGAATTACGGTGCTCTGGAGAGCACTGGTGTTCTGGGTGTTAATCAGTTGTACCTTGAGGAGGTGCTAACTCAGCTCTCAATTCTTAAAGTCTCTGTATTTAGGGCCAATACTCAAGTATGGTTCTGAGGAACAGAAGCACAAGTGGATTTCTCCCTTCACCAGCGGGGACAAAATAGGATGCTTTGCTCTGAGTGAACCAGGTAATGTTACAGTTAGCATTCCTGTTGCAGGGAACATAGGGTAACTTCCTTAATCAGATTTAGAGTGGATTTCAGGTCTGTCAGACTGTAACAGTTTGCAGAAAGGTGGTTTGTAGCAATTCCATTCAAATGTTCAAGTGAACTCTTGGTGCCCAAGGTACTTACTACCTGCTACCCCATGGGCTGTGCTGAAAATTTTCATCCCTGTTACGTGAGCAAAACCTTAGAGATGGGTGCATCTTTGACGTACTGGCTTTTCTCCTTTCTGTTTGGGTCCCCTATGGGAGAGACAGGGGTGACACCACTGCAGTGAGCTGGCAGCAGGGGTGTGGGCAGGTGGTGGTTTTGCACCGATTGCAGATCACTGCTACTGATTGCCTGAATGTTTTTTGCCTTGCTTAGGGAACGGCAGTGATGCGGGTGCAGCATCCACAGTGGCACGTCTGGATGGTGACGAGTGGGTGCTGAATGGCACCAAGGCCTGGATCACCAACGCCTGGGACGCCTCGGCCTCCGTGGTGTTTGCCACTACAGATAAATCCCTGAAGCACAAGGTGTGAGCAGTGGGTCGGTTGGGAAAAAAGGGCTGGAAGTGAAGGGAGAATCATTCTGAAAGGGTTCTGAGGACCACGTAGAGTGTTTGGAGCTGTGCAGATGTTGCACAGCGGGGAGGAGGGGGTTTGATGTGTGCTGATTCTGTTGTTCTTTGTGCCTTCCATTCCTTCTTGTTACTCAGACACACGTCTCCTGTGGAAAAAAAATGGGAAGGAAGCCTGTTGACAACCAGGTAAGTGGGAACTGAACACCATTCCTAAGAGTCTGGGTCCTCTTGCAGGGCATTAGTGCATTCCTTGTTCCTATGCCAACTGCGGGGCTGTCCCTGGGGAAGAAAGAAGACAAGCTGGGCATCCGAGCCTCTTCCACTGCCAACCTGATATTTGAGGACTGTCGGATACCCAAGGACAACCTGCTGGGGCAGCTAGGAATGGGCTTCAAAATTGCCATGGTAAGAGATGGATCACGGGTGCATTTGTGTAAAGCAGTAGTTCCCAAACCGGCCGTTTTTAAAACTATTTTCACATTTAGGATAACTTTGGTGAGAGCTGCTACTGTAAGGTATAACATGAGACAGTTGACCCATTTGCCAACATGTGAGAACTCATTGATAGAGCTCAGTAAATCATTGATTTATTATAGATCCTGGGCAGTGCTGTTTTTGTAGGCTCAGTGTGGCAGCGCTCTGGTTCAGGAGTGCTGTTGAGGCAGTGTGAGCAGGGACAGTTTAGTTTAATTTTTCTTATCTACTCAAGTTCTGTTCTTCCATTTTGTACCCTTAAAAAAAGGGGGTGGGGGAGAAAGTTGCATTTTCCCTAAATATTCTGGCTGAGGATAGTTGTCCTGGGTGCACAGAGTATGTTCTGCATCACTGAATGTCTAAATCTGCTACAAATGTCTAAAAGAAGTGGAAGAAGTCAGAGATAACAGCATGTGTGTGACTAATGAACAGAAGCCAGGCCCCTGTCCAGCTTGTTCCCTGCAGTGGCACACTCTTCACTGAGAAAATGCACCATTTGTTGGCCTGATGTTTTGAGAAGGGCTGAGCTCCAAAGCTGGAAGAACTCTCCAGTCACCAATCACTTTTTTGAGACCCTCAGGATTAAGATCAAGTCTTTTCTCACTGTACCACAAATTCTTCCTGTGTACAGAGCGAGCCAGGGAAGCAATCAAAACCTAACGGGCAAGTCAGGTTACAGAGCCAATTCACCAGTCATGAAAAATGAAAGAAAGAGTGGCCATGTGTGTGCTCTTTTGATCAAGTGTTATTTAACACATATTTTGTCTTTCCCAGCAAACTCTGGATGGAGGGAGGATCGGCATCGCCTCTCAGGCTCTGGGAATAGCTCAGGCAGCTCTGGACTGTGCTGTGGATTATGCTGAAAAGAGAATGGCTTTTGGGTCACCCATCACAAAGCTGCAGGCGATTCAGGTACGAGGCAGGCTGGGTCATTTGCAGGCAGTGCTGTCGTTCATATGTTGTTCACTTGTACCTGGCTTTGGGAACACAGTGCACTTCGTACTGTCTGGGATGAACAAGGTCGTTGTTCACATTCTCATACACACTGTTGAGATGGAGGTGCTCCTTTTCTAGTGCTGCTGGTCTCAGAGGTGGGAGACTGCTCTATGTTTCCTGTAGGCAGAGCCACCTCAGACAAAGGCAGTGTTTGTCATTGCAGTTTAAGTTAGCAGACATGGCTGTGGCGTTAGAGAGTGCGCGCTTACTGACCTGGAGAGCTGCCATGCTGAAAGACAACGGGAAGCCCTTCACAAAGGTATTTCTAGCTCTGCATTTGTCAAGTAGTGACAGCTCTGGGCACAGGCTTGAGGCAGGCAAATGTGTGATGTGCTGCTGTGTGGCTGCCTTCAGTCCTGCCCAGCCTGGTGCTGCTGGAGGTCCGGTATCGGCAGGTACTGCACACTGCTGGCTGCCATCAGCTCCAGCTCTGGAGCTGGGCCCTGCTTTTATCCAAGGCGAGAGGGGCTGGCTGCTGAGAGCTGGTGGCCTGTCTTTTCTGCACAGTTGGTCTGCAGCCTGTCAGACTCCTGTTGCAATTGGGGCTTTCCTTTTTCTACGATAGCTGCATCCTCAGTGATGTTTTCCTTCCCAAAGGAAGCAGCGATGGCCAAGCTGGCTGCGTCAGAAGCTGCAACAAACATCGCTCATCAGGTAACTACACAGCTGGCAACTCTCAGCTGCAAAGCATGCTGAAAGGCAATTTGTGTTCCATCTCTTACACACAACAAGCCAAGCACCTACATGAAAACGGGATGAAATTTAATCTTTACTAGAACATACTTATATGTTGTTTTCTTTTTTTAACAAAGGCATGCGAAGCTGGTTAGCCTGGGCACCTCTTTGGATTCAGGGTTATGCAGGCATGTGATGCTGTGTTATTAATGATCATGACTGATGCTGTCCAGAGGCAGCATCAGCATTTTAACTGGATTGGTGCTTTCTGGGGGAGCTTAGCTGCACCCAGCTCAATCAGCAGTAAGTTTGATGTATAATGAGAAGATAGAGCAGTACCTCTCGTGGCTGAGTTGAATATGGAAAAAACTAACAAATACCACTGAAGTGGCTCATTTGCTGTCTGGGATGTCAGCATTAACGTTACACGACTTCTAATTGTGTGTATTTCTCTGAGTACAAGTGTGTCAGTCAGCCCCACGTGCTTCCTCCAGGTGTGCATGCAGTGAGATTAGTTCCTTTTGAGGTGGCTGTGGTCTGTGCAAAACAAGGTCTGCGGCCCTGCATCTATTCTAACCCCCTACCTTTGTTTCAGGCCATCCAGATCTTGGGTGGTATGGGTTATGTGACAGAGATGCCAGCAGAACGTCATTATCGTGATGCTCGTATCACTGAGATCTACGAGGGGACCAGTGAGATCCAGAGACTGGTGATAGCAGGTCAACTGCTGAAGGCCTACCGTAGCTGAAGAACCTTAGAGCAAGATGCTGCCCTGAAGTGCCTCCTAACAGCCATCCAAGCGCTGAGGATCACGATGGAAGTTTTCCTCACTAATGAGTAACTGACCTTAAAATGTGCTGATTCTTCTCTGGGTGAAGTACGTTGCATGGAAGGCTGTATCCCAGTTTGTAAGCAGATGGCCATGCGTGCAAGAGAGAGGAAGCAGCTCATGGCTGCTTTTCTTAATCAGCTCACTGTACTTTCTTTGCAAGGCTTTGTCAGTGAGCAGTGTGAGAAGCAGTGCCAGTGTTAGAGATGTGACCCCTGTGCACTCTTTCTGGGCTGCTGGTTACACTGCCGTGCTTCTCAAATCCCAAAGTTTGGGATGCAGCTGTGGTGAGCTCCCTGTTCAATGCAGGCTGTACTGAGACCTGCTGCAGCAGTGCCCTCTCCCCCACCTCCAGCAGGAGAGGAGCCAGAAGGGAGGACACAGGCACTTCCTATGCATGAAAGGCTCTTACTCAGGCTGTGGTTGCTGTGTACATGGATGTAAAAGCAAAGGTCAGAAAAAAAAAACACTAGCTTTCATGGTGTGAGCCCCTCATGGATGGAGCTGTAAAAGCAAAGAAGAGAGAAGCTGCAGTGGTTGAGACAGATTAAAAAAAAAGAAAATGAATGTTCCACAGACTGCTTTTACTGTACCAACAGCTATCTAACAGGGCAGAAAATGCATACAGTGGCAGTAGCAGGTTTTGATCTCTATGCATTTTTGGGCAACAAATGGGAAATGAACAGATGATACCAAAAACCTTACCAGGAAGATTTAGCAGTAACACATCCCCCATCAGTTATCTTCAGGAAAAAATTAACTTTCTGAAAATTAAACAGCCAAAAGAAAGGGTGGATAGGATTAAGACTACAATCTGCACAGCCCTTGTGCAGACACGGAGTACACCAGTTGTAAATGATTATTTTCCTGTGGTGTCATTTATTTATGTGGAAAGAAAACAGCAAGATTATATTACATGAAAGAACAGAAGATGAATAAAACCTGATTTTAAAAACTTTTTTATAGCACCACCCCTCCCCTTTTTTTTTTTCTAAATTCAAATGTGACAATTTAGAATAGTTTCTTCCAGTCCCAAGATACAGAAGCACGACCCTCCCTGCCCCCCATACAGCGGTTGTGCCCATGCTTTGCAGTGTGCTGGGTGGTTGCTACTGCAGATGTCCCAGTAATACAGATAATCCCTTTGCAGGTCGCTTGCTGGCATGTTGGGCAGAGTTTGAATTTCTCCTTGCTGCTGCCATAATCTGGCAGAGCCAGGCAGTGAGATCAGTAGGTCTACTGGAAAACCAGTCCAGTGATTGCAAATGTGTTGTAAATGAAAGTCTTCTGGGTGTAAAACACACTCTTCTAGCTCCATTTCCACTTGTATCTCTGATGATTTTTTTAAGCCTCACTTAATGACTCTGTAGGAGGAAGTAAGATTACAAAGTTCTTTTTCTCCTCACAGCCACCCAGCTAGAGCAGGCACTGCAGGCCCAGTCACTGCAAGGAAGTGAGGACTGGGAGCACAGTGTTACTGTTCAGTGCTCATCTTTACTGAATCGCCAGTGCACCAGAAGAGGCAGTCACTGTTAGGCCACACCTGCTGCACTGTTTTCCTTTGCTTCATCGTTCTTTTACACCTGCTTTCAGCCTCTTCCTCCTCATACCTCCTTCAATCAGCAACACTAAATATTGCCACTTGTCTCCAGAGGTGAGTGAAATTGCCCCTGTGCCCTCAGAGCGGAAGACTGGACTGGGAGACTGGCTGCCAACACCTCAGCTGGCAGAGCACACACTGCAATCAACTACAAACTAGATATACCAAAATCCCACGCGGACCTTTTGCTGAGAACACCGTGTGCAGCATCAAGCAATTGCCTGCCCACAGGGAGCCCTGCTGCATGCATGTGACCACAACTTGCCTTTGTGAGCTCCTGGATAGCACTCTGCATGCCTCCTTAACGAGCTTCCTGCTAGCTGACATCAGTACAGCAGCTGACCTGGCTAACTGCATATTTGGTGCTGATTTGCTCAATGCAGCTCTGTCACTGCATTCAACTTAGGCTGCACATCACCAAACTACAGAAAGGGTGGAGCTGGTCAAAAATCACTGGCCTAAGTACAGCATGACTTTAATGTTCAGGAGCCTAGGAATGTTTTCCAAGGCTGTAAGAGATCCCTTTTGCTGTTATCTAAAAAAAGCCCCATGCTTTAAAGGTGCAAAGTCTGTTAAAAAAAAAATGCATTTCCAATACCTTCCTGGCTGCCACAGGTTCAGGCAGGTACAGGTAACCAGCCTCACAGCACAGTTCTCAGCACTATTTTGGGGTAAACAACACAGTTACACACAAAGTCCTCCACAGAGCTCCCAGAGCAAAGAGCTGGCTTTTCACTGAGCAATATACAGAGATCCTATTCCACTGCTGCTGTCTGAGATAATTTCAGCTTTAATGCATGTCTGTCTGCTCCTCAGGGCTGTTACAGAAAAAAAAATTGCTGAAAGAGCAAAACACCATCAAGTTCTGCAGCTTGTTAAATAGAGCTCTGAGCAAGATCCACCCCCAGCCTGAGCACTAACCTGGCTGTGTGTGAGCAGGGCCACGCTCTCTTACAGCAAAAGCTCAACTTCAGGTTGAAACCAAGTTTGTCGTGACAGTTTACAAACTGAGCCAACATAGCAAAGATTCCAAGATGGGAAAACCAGGTCATGTGCAACTTATGGGGGGGAGGGACAGCTGCACTTGTCAAGGACACTTTTGCCCACAACCCTCTGAATGTACATTAAATAGGTTACAAATGAACTGCAGGGAATGAAGCAAGGAAACCTTGGAGGATTTCAGCTGGAGGTTAAAAACTCACCAATTAAGAAGAGTTTCCAGGACAGGAGGCCTGGCCGTACAGTGGCAGCACATCTGCACTGCTCTGCTCCAGGGGTTCCTGGACAGCCCAGCTGAAGAAACAGTTACAGTAACGTGGGGCACCTAAGATGTCCTAGGACTCAACTGAAATTACTGTAGCACTGCTTTCACACCAGATCTCCTCTACTTGTCCTTCTGATGTGTTTTTGCTAAGCAAAAAAAACCCCAAAATAATAAAAAAAAAAACACAGACAAACAAACCCAAACAAACAAACAAAAAAGGACAAATGGTTTTAAATGGTTTTAAATTAAATTTTGCTTTGCCTAATCTGAAAGCCCTCATTAAATACCACAGCCACATGTTCCAGTTTCACTGGGGATCATAAAAGGCATACAAATTACCAAATTTGAAAGACTACAGTAAATAAAAAAGCTGAACACCTGTAAACACAAGAAAAAATAAAGATGAGAAAAGGCAGCAGTGGGATTTGAATGAAAGTGCAGTCTGCCACTGCTGTTTACCTGCACAACATCCAAACCTTGCTCACCACTTGTATAAAGAGAAGACCAGACTTCTGCATCCATTTCTCCCTTACTGAGGTCAGTCCTAAGATGAGGTCAGTCCCAATGGTCAGCACGTGTTTCCTCATCGCTCCCATGACTTCTTCCCCTTCTCTCAGTGAACACACTCCATTTCCACGCTCACAGCAGGAAATGTTCACCTCCACAAGCAGCTGCTGCATGCCACACCATGGAAACTGCAGCACCCGTCCCAGGCTGCTCCCAATGGGCCACTGCACACCTGGAATTACTAGTCTGCATTTGCGAAATACATCCAAACCAACTCCAAATCTTTTCAAGATGAAGATGAAGTCCTGTGGGGAAACTTCAAAGCTGTCAGCAGCAGTTTCTAAGCTGACTGTTCCCAAAGACACAGCAGAACACCAAGCCCAGAACTGTTTGCTACCTGGCATTTTACAGTGCTGGTTCCAATCCTAACCAGCAGTCAGAGCTTTTTTTATTATTATTTTTGACAGTAACTTTTTACACTCCTAAATAAAAGCTTTTGTTAGACGAATATTTTTTTCCTGACAACTTTTCCCAAGAAGACAGGTGCTTCCAGACTGCACTGCAGGAATCTGTATCAAGTGCTTAATGAAAGAGTTGAACAAAACGTAAAACCAAGAAGGGACCCAGCAGGGGCAGGGATTCCATGCCCAGACGGCCCTAGGAAATCCAAAGGACCACAGCAGTGCGCTCAGTTTCATCCTCAACATGCAGTCGGCCAGACCAAAGGAACAAGGCCAGAAGGTTCAGAGCGCCCAGCAGCCGAGTGCTGAGGTACAAATCCTTTCTATTCCCCCACAAAGTTGAGCTTGTTCTCAACACGACAGCAGTGGGACTAAGTGTTATAAGCTGTAATTTAATCAAAAATCTTAGGGGAATGTTTTTGTCTCTGCAAACGCAACAACTTTGTACAGCTATGCTTCAGTTAACCTAAGGCACCACAATCCTCCTCTTGTCAGTGGTGGCTGCCATTGCAATATTGCAAACCCCTTTGGGTTCAACATTGTTCACCTGGCAGCTGCAGGCTTCCACCTGGGAAGGCAGGCCATCATTTCAGAGGTGGTTTAGAAACAAAGCGCTTCATTTACAACCCCATTTCTTGGTGCAAGTCAGAAGGTCACACACACAGCACACATCAAGGCAATACTGATTTATAAGAAGGCTAAATTCATTCTAATTAAATAGCACTTCTAGAACTTTCTCCAGAATTCTTTTAAGTGTAGAGAATCACTAATAGGCACGGAGTAGAAATGCCACTACAAAACCAGAGAAAGACTTTTTATTTTAATTGTAAAGGAGGGCACTCACAAGAAACTGAGAGCACTTGAGATGTGCGATGCTAGCGGGGGGATGGAGGGACTGAGATGATAAGGCTTCAGCAGACAGATCTAGAGATATATTCCACTGCTTCAGTACCCCCAGGCAAAAAAATGGTGTCCTTTTTCTCTCTGAATACACTCACCAATATTTTATTCTCTTAAGTTTTCAGCTACACTCAAACTTAACGTCCCTCTGTCCCAAGCTGACTGCAAGTCTGGGATCCAATACCCACAGTAAATGCAGATTTTAAATTTAAAAATATTTACTTCTGAAAGTAACCATCATCTGACAGCGAGCATCTAACATCTAACCATCATCTGACAGCGAGCATCTAACATCTAACCATCATCTGACAGCGAGCATCTAACATCTAACCATCATCTGACAGTGAGCACGGCAGGGACACAACAGAGAAAATGCTTTCGACCAAGTGAAAGAGAAGAATGGGGGAAAACAACCAGTCACAGCAGCCTCCTGCTGCCCACCCACCCGAAAGGGCTCAGGACCACCTCCAGCCCTGGGCTGCTGGGCTGCTTCTTAGTGTCCTCACGTTTTACCCACCTCACATCTGCTTCAGCCCATGCAGAGGCACTGCAGCGCCACGGCCTGCAAGCTCAGACCTGCTGAGGAGAACAGAGGAAGATGTCAATTAAAAACAGCACAGGCAGATGCTTTGGCCAGACAGAAATTTTGCTCCTGTAATAACAGAGCAGAAAGGATCAGACATTTCTAAACTCCCTTACCTGTTTGTAACAAGGCACTGCCTCGCAGGTCCTTTCAGTCAGACCTCAGTCTGAAACATTCCTGTTTTCCTTCCCTCAGCTCTCAGGTCTCGGCACCAGGCTAACGAGGTGCAATGAACGAACATTCTGGTTAGCTCAGGGCTGCCTTTCTGGCAATAAAGCAACAGAACTGGAACTGCTGGTTGGAAAAAAGCAGCCACCAAAACATCTCAAACAGGCTGTCAGGTACAGAGCACCAACACACAGACTGACCAGGCACAACAGGAAAGGACAGTTTGCTTTTTTTCCTTTTTTTTTTTTTCTTTTTTTTTCCTTTAAGGGGCAGGGCATGGAAAAATACAGCACACTAATGAAACAAAATGCAAAAAAATACAAAAAAATAGAAAATAGAAAAAATGTATTTACAAGTGATACATTACTATGATCAGAAAGCACAAAGACAATTGCTGCTATAATACATGCACCGGGTCAGGAAGGAACTACTAAAAACCTGCAAGGGAGCTGTTTGTAAAAAAGGAAGAAAAAAAAAAGACACCCTTCCCATCCCTCCCCCCTGAAACAAACAGGGTCAGGTTTCAATGTTTTGCTTCCCTACTTTGCTACATTGATCAAAATCAAATATCCCCTGAAGTCCATGAGTACAGTCGGTACAAATACGACATGTCAAACTGCAGGTTTGGTTTCAGGACGGGGGAGAAAAACAGCAGCTCATTGTAGATTCATATACAAGAAAGCCAGAGTAAACTGCTCTACATGCTAAAAATTACAGCAAGCCCCTGTCTGCTACATAGCATGATCTTAGCAGGTTTTCCTTTTTATTTATTCATATATATATCTATATGTGTGTGTATATATATATGTATAAAAATCGTGCCCTTTTTCACTGCAACATGACATCTGCGTGGAAATGTAACTTGTTACAACAAATCTTTATATGTATACTGCAAGAAGTCACTCAATGTCTGTGGATTTAATAAGTAACCTCACACCACAGGAAATATTTAATAAATCAAAAACAAAAACCAAAAACAAACCAAAACAAAAACCCCAATATTGTGACAGAAGACCTTCTGTCTCAGTTCTTTTCAAAACTGAAGTCCAACAGGAAACTGGTCCCAATGCATATGAGGGTTCGCTGAAGAAGCTTCAGTTTGCCTAACTGTTTTTTTTCTCTTAGTGTTCACGAGTTTTTGAACGACTTCAAGCCGTTTTCAATTTCAAGTCTGTCTCTTCCTCTCTCAGTAGGTAACAGTCTGCTACTGATCCATCAGAGTGAGGAAAAGAGGAAAGTGGCTGCAGTTGCACGAAGGGTCCCCAGTTCCACATCTGCGGGGCGATGAGACGGAGCTCCGGAACACCTTAGCTTTTTTCCTTCCCTTCCTTTCAATTCTTTCATACAAGTCCTGTAGTTGGTACCTTCCCAAGTACCTGGCAGCCAGTCCAGCTTCAGGAGATGACAAAGCCACAAGATAAAGTGAAAGGGACCAGTGCAGAAGTTCAGGTCACTGCTCCATCATACTTCCAGGAAACGGGAGCTGCTGGACTTAGAGTGGAAAGGCTCAGACCACATGCGGCGTAGATCGCCCTGGGCAGCAAAACAGCACAGGAGACTGCACTTAGAGACTGCAGAGCCTGCTTAGAAGTCCGACTTTAAAGTACAGGTATAACCATGGGCATATCTGAAAGCTAAACTGTTCTCCACCCGTTTTGCAGATTGCAATCAAGACAGTAAAATACATCCTTCCTTTCCACCATCAGGTCAAAATGGTTCATTTCTGAGGCAGATCTACCTCAAATATTTATGTGGGTGGAAAATTCTGCCCTTTCTTAGGCTCTGTTCTCTAGATTGCTAGATGGATATTTCAAAAATAACCCCACAACAGTAAAGATAACATTGTGTGTAGACCTGCCTCTCCTCTCTCAATTCATCCTTTGTGCAAACGTTTTCTTTCATGGCCAGCTGGGGGAGGACAAACTCTGTTATTTAATTAAGGCAGCTCCTAACACTTCTGAGTTTAGTTTACATTTACTTCATGCGCACACTTTACTTTCTAGTTTAAGTCTCTCCGTTACTCAGCGCCCCAAAGTGAGAATTCCCACAGGAGCAGCTGCACATCAGTTCTTGACCTCGGCTGTTGGTGAGCAGTGGACACGCAGCCCCCAGGACCTGCTGCCCCTGCTGCAGGAGCACTGACCTCATGGCCAGCAACGATCCGACCTTACCTTTAAATATGCCATGGTGAGGAGCGGCAATAAGGTAAAAGGTACCAAGTACAGGAGGGCAGGCTGGGCTGCCCGGTGAATACGAGAGGCTACTGTTGCAGTTAATAGGCCTGTAAAAGAAAGAAGCGACTGAACATCTTCAAACAGCATACGGATGTTCTGTGCCTTTTCATCCACAGGTGTTTCCTTACCCACCGCTGTAAGACAGGCTATGGAAAAATGTATTTATCTGTGCTTTGCTTTCCCTAAATAGTTATAAGCTATTCTATTTTAATATTAGGCCGTGCTGAGCCCCTCACTACAGTTTTAAACCTCAGAGACTAAGCTAATAATAACAAACTGTAACAAAAAGCAAAGGAGAGGAAACTGAGTGCACCACGCTGAACGGTTTTATGTGCTACTCAGTGCTGGTGCTTCTTGAGAAATGAGGGGCTGGAAGGAAGGATTGTTCACACCAGGAACACCTTTCCTGGAGATGTGCCCAAGAGGAACACGGGGGAAAGCCAGGGGTGGGTGGGTAGGGAACACAACTGGAAAGAAATGATCTCTCCATTGCATCTGCTGAAGGGCTGAGGAGATCCAGATGCACACACACACAGATCCAGATGCACACACACACAGATCCAGATGCACACACACACATCTTGACCAAGGAGAAAAAATCCGTTAGTGAGGAGAGGGACAACAGCTACTTCAAATCACAGATGGCATTCCAGCTGCAACTATTTACAGTTTTCTGTACATACTAAAATGTTACAGGATCATAAGGCTTAACACTAGAACACAAAAATACTGCACCTATCATCTATTTGTACTCTTTCACAGCATAACCCATGTAGGAATTCCCATGTTTTCTGCCTTACCCACATATGAGCAGAGCAGCTTCTGCAATCGTAAAGCAAGGCACAAAAAGTTCCTCACAGAAAGATGCTGATAATCTCTTTCATCCTCAAAATAAAAGCCTCTGTACTTTGTTTCATCGCCTTTCAAACCCACATCTACAATAATCCCACTCTTGCTCACTAAGCAGCTAACCATATTAAACCACTTACTTACCTACAAAATATCCAATGAGTGTGCAGTGAAAGTAAGAGACCTTCTGCATACGTCCAGAGATGTTCCCTGGTCCTGGGGCACCACAGGAATCGCTGTTGGCTTGTTTTTTGTAGTTATCGTAGCGCAGGACGAAGCAGAGCAGAAGACCTGGCATCACAATATCTCCAATCCCCAGCATAGAGAAGTGGCTGCCCGTGGAACTGCAGAGCAATTGAAACTGGGTTTGCACCCCTGCACGAGGTAACAAGCTCCAGACTCCACTTTGTTTCTGAGCTTCATTTTGCACATGCCCTGCTTATACTGGCAAACTTTTATGCAGTAGAAACTATCACATAAATACCAGCCACTAAAGACTTTCCTTAGTGACTTCATCACCATGTCAGCTCAGTTTTAAACGTTCTTATTTAGACACTTGCTCCAAAGCAGGTATTCCTACTTGCAGGGTTTAAGCTGCTCTGCTGGAAGTCCCTCAGTGAAACAGCTCCACCAGCTCAGTCCTTCAATCACCTCTCTCCCCTCCAACGATGGGAGCTGGGTACCAGCTGACAGTTCTACCACCCATTTGATTCACACTGATAAACACTGTGCCTTCATTCCAGTGTAGATTAATCTCCTCTAATGTGAAACAATAAATCAGTTTATGGCCTTTTCAGATCTTTGGCTTAATTCAGACACAACGCATATAAAACTGTAATTCTGTTGGATTCCCAGGAAAGAGCCAACTGCTAAGCACATTAAAAATTGAAATCTGCCATTAACACGAGATCTTTTTCTGAAAACAGTGCCAAATAAGTTTACTGCAGAATAACTAACCAATTTTCTTGTTATCAGTGCAGATAATCACCCCTTAATCTCTGCTATTTCAGCACTCCAGCATCGAAAGAAGAATAAAATAATGATATGGCAACAGACTGCGCGGCTTCTGAAGCGCTCGCAGGCTGTGTGGAGCTGGCTTAAAACCCTCATCAAGGAGCTCCTGCCGTGGAGAGATGTGGAATAATCTCCCTCCAACACAGCGCTTCACCCGCTAAGTCTTCACTGCCCACCCCAGTCTCCACCTCCCCCTGCAGTTATGCAGTACTTATGACTACTCTAATTTCAGAATAAACCTCAGCTCTTTTTGGTTTTAAGCAGGAATTCATCAACACGTAACTGTAGCAGAAGTTATTAAACTGCAGAACTCACATCAAAGTGTATCCTGTTCTGAACGGGCCAGGACCTAACTTAGGATCATTTCTGCATGCATGAGACAGCAAACAGGAAGCACCTAATCCTTAAACTCTACTACAGACACTGTTATCACAAAGAGGGATTGATCAAATAGGAAACCAAGCTGGTGTTTTCCAATAGCATTAGCAGAGAATAGAATTACTGCTAATAGAGTGCTGAGGGAAACTTTTCTTCCATAGTAGCATGAAAGAATTGCTGATTTTACCTTGGAAATACAAGTTTACCAGGCAGCGACAGACGGGGAACATCTCTGCCCACGTTTGGCCCCAGGTGAAGCTTCCGGGATAAAACGTCGAGGGGATTATCAGCAGGTTGTGTGGCCACTTTCACCATCACATTGCTGTTAAAGATGTATGCAGAAAAGAAGACCTGCGGAGCAAGAAAATCCTTAGAAAGGACAAACTGTGATTACACAGCAACTTAAAGCAGCTTTTTCCCCCTTCTTTTTGCTTCACCTATTCAACAGAAGATTGTTTTCATTTCCATATGCATATGTTGTAGACATGGTAACAAAATGCAGAATGGTTTTTAGAAAAAGTGTTGTTTGTTGGTTTTTATAAACTATTTTAGTTTTTTACACTATTACTCCTCAAGAATAACTGGAATACTTTCTGATATCAAGATACTGACCAACAGGTACTGCAATATCTGGACAACGAGCACCAGGAAGAGGATGGCACTGAGGCACCCAGTATAAGAAAGCTTGAAAGCAGAGGAGAGGGAAGCACAGTGCTCAGCCTGGGTGATGCAACGCTTATTTCTAACAGGCTCTCACACTACAGCTCGCACACAGAAAGACTGACTCACTGCCAGAGCTGTCAGCAAGGGCCTCCCAGTCAGTGCCTGCTGCTATGCAAAGGTGGAACTACACGCTTTCAGCATTACCAAATATATTGTCAGGTTTCTTGCAAAAGCGCTGTAAGATTTTATGCCAGCTTCACTGGCCATAAATCAGTTTGCATTCCTGTTCTGAGGATTCCACTGCTAGTCTTAAGTTGGCACGCAGCACCGTGCAGCGTGGAGAAGGCTTTACATTCATTTGGAACTGCTTGTTCTGATCTGCAGCCAAGCCTTCAAAATTGAAGGTCTCGTTTTTTCTTAGAATCTGCCAAAGCTGAAGTATTCTAATGATGTTTCTGCTTTTGTTAGCTAATTAGGGAGGAAATTATAATGTATTCCACTGAAGGCTTTAAGTTTTCAGAAGAGAGCAATGAAACTCAGCTTCATACTAGCACGTTTCATGTGAAGACAGCATAAGACCAATTACAAATCCAAACAATAAAAACAGTTTAAGCAGAACAAAACAAAGCACTTACCCAAAAGACATCATAAATTAGTAACCCAGAGAGCAGCAAGCAGGAAACCTTCAGGCTCGGGAGCCGGACAAAGGCTATCATTGCAACACACAGGCCCATAGCCAGAGCTACAAAATGCAAGTACACAATTAGTGCATTAAAAATAAAAACAAACCCCAAACCAAACAAGTAACAACAAAAAGAGAAACCAATACTCCTCCCCCCCCCCAAAAAAAACCCACCACTCAGAAGAAGCTTCTGTTTGCACCTGAGCAGCACTGCACTAGATGGATTTCTAGTATTTCCAGATACTGAGGTTCTCGCATGTCAAGAGAAGACAAAATACATTCAGGAGGAACACATCCATCTGACACGTCCCCATAGAAACAGAAATACCACTCCACTTCCACTGTCCACCACAAGTAAACGTTCTCATGATCAGAGTCCTAGAGACCACCTCCCCCACAGAACACAAGCTCTCCAGTTACAAACAACATCCCAGCTTTCAACCCTCTGTGCCCCCAGCAGGAAACAGCTCCAGAAATCAACATGCTAACGTCGCACAGTACGACCAAGAAGCACTCAAACCAATCTTCTACTCGAACAAGATGGTGCAAGGCTGCCCAAACATCAGCTGTGAGCTCCTACTGTTTAGAAGTACAGGGATCTCCCAGTAACAAACATCTGTGTGAACGCCTGCCCAGCAGTGGGAAAACAGGGGAAGTCCTCTCTCAGGGGTGAGCTTTCAGACACACCAGCAAACTGCACTGACTGATGCTGCAGGCTCAGAGTTGTCAATTCTGTTCCAGGAGAAGATCAAGGATGCGCAACGCAAAATTAAACCTGAAACGTGACACACATGTCTAGAAAGGGGAGGTGGGGGGAACCTTTCCTCTGCAGTCACAAATCCAATCCCCTACGTATTTTGTCAGCAAAGCTCACCAGCATGACAACTTGATCAGGCCACAGTTCACAAGTCAACATTCTAACTCTCACACCATCATTGCAGAATAGCAAAAATCCATTACGCTTGCATTTCATCCAGAAGATACGGAGTTCTTCCATCAAAGCACTACAGAGACAATTTAGTACAGATTCGAGAGACAAAGCCGTGGAGCAGCTCCCAGCACAGCTGCACGCGATGCCCAGCCTGCCAGGCCCACCTCGACATCCCCATGTAACCCTGAGCAGCACGGCTGCCAGTTTTAATGAAGAGATGTGATTACTGAGATTAAAAAACAAGTATCCTAAATCACGCTGCATTATTGCAACTTGTTATAGAACATAAATTATCAATGTTTAAGGAATTTGACACAGCAAAGCAGGGAGCGAAAGAAGCGCGTTCAGTAATTCAGTACAGCCTTCAGTTGCAGACTTCCTCTGAAGAAGAGCAAATACAAAGGAACAGGCTGTCTGAAATCAAAGAGATTTCTCCAAAGCCAGTGCTAATAATAGCTCAGGCTGGCCTATGTTTAGGAGAGGATTTCCACGTTATAATTAACTGGAAGTGGAGATATTTTAACCGATGTGAACTTTTAGCCATTGTTTGCACAGTCAGTTCCTGCACCGTGGAAATTCACACAGGCACCCATCTGACATCTTCACTGCACCGAGTGAACAGAGTGTTTAAAAGGGGGAAGAAAAATGGAGAGATGGACGGCTGGAGAGAGACAGATGGAGGGACAGGCAAACAGAATGTTGGGCAGATAGATGGAAGAAGGATGGAAGGACAGATGGGACAGAGCATCAGATGGACGGACAGAAAGGCAGACGGCAATGGATGGAGTGTCAGTGGAAAGACAGACTGATGGACAGGCAGAAATACAGGCAGTGCTGGAGGAACAGACAGGAGGACACACGGACAGGATGACGGAGTGCTGGATGGAAAGACAGACGGTCAAACTGAATGTTGGATGGACAGAGACGGCCCGTTTGTCCTTCTGTCTGTCTCTCTATGCACCCTTTCATGCACGTGTCCTTCTGTTCATCCTTCCATCTGTCTGCCTGTCTCCACCCTTGTCTGTCCACCAGTCTGTCCTGCAAATGTCCATCAGTCCACCCAGTTGCCTGTCAAATCCATCTTTCCATCTCTCTGCCCTCTGCCAGAGGTACCAACTGACAGGAAGATGGACGGACAGACTGAAGGATGGGCACTGACAGACAGAGGGACAGATGGAAAGATGGTCAGTTTGTCTTTCCGTCCATCCTTCAGTCTGCCAATCCATTCATCTTTCTGTCTCTCTGGCCATCTGACTGTCTTTCTGTCCATCAGTCCATTAGTCTTCCCATCCATCCGTCAGCCCATCAGTCCGACTGCCAGCAGGACAAACTGACAGACAACGAGACAGAAAGAAGGACCAACACACAGACCGAAAGCTGTGCCAACAGCAGCTCAGCTGGAAGTGCTGAATTGACAGCATGACCTGAAAGTCACCATTCAGTCAAGTGAAGGGACTGACTTCCACACTCCAGCAAGCAACACCTCTTACAAAAGAAGGATATTCTGAGGAATATTCTGAAGATTACAATTAATCCTGCATATGTGATTAAATCTTAGGCTTGCAGTTGTATTTTTTTTTTTAGCTCTATTGACCTACTGCAACCAGAACAGATGAAATCAGTGGTGCAATTTCTGTTCTGCAGATCATTATGTAAACAAGCAGGACTTAAGCTTCACCCATAAGCCACCAGTTGACCTTTGAAACAGGTGCTGAAGCTGTGACCTAATTACACACCTACAGAACTCTCAAAGTGTATTTACAAAGCAGAAATAAATACACACTGTGCAGCAGTTTCTCTTTGGTTGCTGCAATAGCTGAGATCCACAGCAGTTCCCAGGGTACCCAGGACTGTTCAGTTCACTGCACTGCTGCCAAAGGGCACTGCATGAATCTACAGACACCGCTCCCATTTCCCATCTCCACACACCTCCTCTGTTTAGGAAAGCTTTTATAAGACAGCCTTCTCATCCTATCCTGTAATGAGTCCCTACACCTAGGAACAGCCAACCAACTACCAGGGGACGAGGGAATTCCATTCAGGCAGTGAAGGCTTTTCTGGCAGAAACTGCTGCACCTCGATTTTGTAGATAACAGAAAAGGCCACGGAGTATTTCCCTTTTTACTTAGCTCTAAAATACTCAAAAAGAAAGATTCCATTGCACAACAAAGCACACCCTGCTCCTCCCTGCAACCAATATAAGGCACAGTCACCTCTGCTTCATTTCTGCTGACAGAGGACCAGAAGGATTTAAACAACTAAGGGAGGCTAACCTACATAGTACAACCTCTGCAATATAAAAGACATAAAATACTCCAAAGCTAAATGGCATCAACACAATTCACTGCATCACAACCACAAAGAAATAAAACCCAGGATGCGCTCAGTGCCCACAGATCAGAGCCCTGCAGGTGAACTGCCTCAATGCCTGCTATTTCAGAGTGCACTGCTCACAGAAATGACTACTCTGAGTAAATGCTTCTGTCAGCTCCTCTGGACAGACAAATCTCTTCAGACTGTGTCAAAATTCACACCTGAATCTACATTTAACTATGTATGTACCACAGATCAAGGATCACCCTTGATTCCTTCATGGGCCACTCTGCATAAAACAAAACATCATCTGCGTTCTTCCACGTGCTGTCAGTGTTTTACAAGGTGTTCCAGGCAACAGGTGGAAGTTTCAGTGGCAGCAGAGAGCATGACTGACACATAACCCCCATATACAAAACTCACAGTCAAGGTGCCAGTGCTCAGGACTTGTTGCTGCTATCTCATTTAGGAGCAACTAGAAAGCTGGTGGCACACATGTTTTATTGAAAGATGCAATTTCAAGGGCAGGTGATGCCGATCCAGCTGTTTTTCCTCAAGCAATCACCACCTCAGGACGTCACTTCAGGAGATGTCCTGAGCCAATTCAGTGCCTGACACCACTGAGAGGCAGCAGCTCTGCCCCCGGCTGCCCCCTTCATCCCTCTGCTGTCACATCCACTCGATCCTCTCAGATCCCATCGTGCTGCCAGTTACCCTTTGCCAAATCTAGTGCATACCTGAGTGCACAATAATCCGATTCACCCACTGCAACAGCAGAAAAATAGCCCAGCAAAAAAAGAGCACGCTACCATTCTAGTGAGCTGAATCAGTTCACCATGTGACTAAATGAATGCCAGAGCTAGCACAAGAGGTTTGGAAGGCAGAGGGGACGAGGAAAGCTCTTCGTGGGAACACTAAGCTGTGAATTTGGTTCAACCAGGATAGAAAAAGGGAAAAAAAAAATAAAGAATGTAGCAAAAAAAATCGCTTTCATCCACACTTCCAGCTGTAAGCCTGCCAGCTCCACCCATCCCAGCCAGCACCATCAGACAGCGAGCTGCTGCCTCACAACAGTCTTTGATCGTCCAAAGCAAAACCCAATACAGCACACAGCAGAAACGAACCAGACTGTTAAGATCACGTTATGATTCATGAGCAACCACCATCTCCACACACCTTTACCTAAAGCTGGCAGTTCACCCTGCTCCACACAGGCGCAGGAAGCCTTTCATGGGTGTTCAGCACTTCCTGGGAAGCTTTCACAAACCAGAAAAACAGGAGTCCCCATCGTTACCCCAGCATGCTTCTGACACGGCTTGTTTTCAGGGAGCCTGCCACCCAAATATTACAACTCAGCAAGACATCAATAACAGCAAATGTCACCAGCCATCCCCGGGTGTCTGCATGTGTCACAACAGGCACAAAGTGGCAATCGAATCCTTTCAGTCACATACTCACCATCCATGAGGAGCCAGTGGCCAGTTAGGACCCAGATGAGCACAAGCATCACAGACAGTGAAAAGGAAAGCAACTCAGCAGCAGTGAAACGCCCACAGCAGCCAAAGGAAATCCTAGGAACAACACACAGACATCAGCTGCGGGGCTTCGTGTTGCCATTTACACAACAGGAAATGGACGCTACCGGAACAAAGCTCAACCACTGGTGAAGGGTGCCAAGAACAACCGAGGGGAAGTTCTTCAGCCACAAATAGGTACCAGAACAGCAGCAAAATACACTTGCCTAACATTCAGGTGATGTGTGACGCCGGAACTATAATGATGGAATAAGACCTGTAAATCCTGGCATGCCTTTTGAAATGGCTCGCATGGATGGCATTTCCTGGTACCACCTGGAAGTGCTTTTTGCAGTCTGAACCCGAGTCACAAGAAAAGAAGCAAACATCTGACTTCAAAACACGACAAGAACCACTGTCGTTTTCACCAGTGTAACTACAGCCTCCAAACAAGCCAGCACTAACATCCTTAGTTCAACATTAACAAACATTAAAACCCAACACCGATTCTGAAACTGAATTCTCAGCAAAAATAAACCAAACTTCTTAAAAGCCACTGTTGGGAAATCCATCCCCCTGCAATGGTTTTGTGTTTCCCAGCCTGGCAAGCATGACTTGCAGGAACGATGCTCCCCAGTGCTGGAGTGGAAGCAGAGTGTTTGCACAGAAGAAGTGCTCACGAACTCGGGCCCCAAGGTTAAACACTTGTAACCAAAGACTGCTAAAGAATTCATATTAAAATAAACAGCACACAAGAAGAGGAGTAAAACATGTTTCAAGTCCTTACTTGTTTTGAGGCGAACAAGGCCTTGTTAAGTACTGGCACATCGGGAGCAAAAGGAAAGCAAAAGCTATTGTTGCAAGGACTAGAAAAGGAAGAAAAGGCAAAATTAGTACATCCAGACCTCATTTCTGCAGCACACGAAGTAGCTTCTCCAATCTGAAAAAGCTCTTGCAACAATGTTCTATTATGATACACAGTATTACTAAAGCAGCAGCAGTTAAAGACTCCAAGGTTTTTCTTCTATTAATTTCAAATTTCAATCACAATAAAAGCTCTTGAAAGAATCGAATGCTCCTACCTCCAAACCTAAAAGGAAAAAATACACGTTAACAAAAATCACCATCAAAGCTGTTCATGATCACGTAGGCAATAAAAAGTTTCTGAGTATTCCAGGAGTCAACCAAAAGGAAAGATCTTCCTGCAAACTGTGGTCCTCAGCTTTTTAGCACACAGCTCACACAGCTCAGCACAACAAAGGCGCTCTTTGGTTTTTCAGCTCAGTCACTTTTTTCTCCCTTCTCACTCACAGCCATTTGTTCATTACTCAACCACAGTACAACTGAAAAATAGGTAAAATACAAAGTGCCTTAAGCTTCTGAGAACAGGAAAAATGGTGAAGTGACAGAAATCACCAAACACAGCATTTCCCCAAATATTTTCTGTTTTCATGAAGCCTATTTTCCCCACCCACACATTAGTAAAAAAAAGTTCAGTAACTGCTGCCATTTCCAACCATTCTTCCCTTCCAGCTTTTTGCTTTTTAATAACAGCATGGGTTTTGTATTAAGGCTCTTTAAAAGGCGGAAGAATGAGGGCTTGGAGAGGCGCCCAGCAGCAGCACTGACACGGCAGCCAGAACTGATGGAGCACGGACAGCAAAGGCAAACTGAAGGGACTGAAGTTCTGGTGGTTGTCATTGCTTTTTTAGAATATTTTTTTTCTTCCCTAAGCTATGAGGGGAGGAGGAATCACACATTCTCTTTAGCACGCAGCTGAAGCCAATTGGAGAAAAATTGCCTTGGTCACATCGCATCTTTCCACCCCTCAACTCTGCCCCGTCTGGCTAGAAGAAAGAAATAAATAACCAAACAAATTCACACCAAATACAAAGGTGTCCGTTGGCAAACAGAAACTCACAGTTCTATTCACGTTTCAGATAGGAGGGGAAAAAAAACAGAACGGGCAGAGAAAGAACACCGAGCGTAAGACCTCTGCACTCAGGTACCTCAGATGCTTTTCAGAGGTGCCTGGAAAGGTTCCCCACCAGGGGATCCCACACCTCCTGTCCTGGCTTCCACCACCACTGCTACCCTGAAGCTGGGCTCCCTCACAGAGAGATCAGATGTAATACCACCAACACACACCTGCCCACAAGGACCCACTCAGCCTCGCTCCTTACTGCCCAGCCGGATGTTTCTCCTTCCCCTCAGCCCCAATACCTACTGTAGGATCGGGACACCTTGCCCTAACTCCCCCCAGCAGCACTGTGCCACCCGCAGCTCTGCCTCCCAGCCCGGCGCTGCGGTGGGGGCTTCCCTGCATCCTGACCCTTCCCTGAACAGCCAGAGTTCGAGGCAGAAAGATTTAAGAGCAGTTTAAGAAACCAGATACCAGCCATAATTTGAAAACACGCCCACACCAGCCTCTGAACTCTACACAAAGGGAGATGTATTTGAGCTGGAGACCCGTGGCCTGCTCCCTGCCAAGTGCCTCCAACAGGGCTCCTGGGCTCTGTACTGAGTGACACTCCCTGATGTGAGGCCACAACAGTATCATAAAGCAAGAGCAGAGATACCCTAGGGCACCAATCCAGGGACTCAGTACTCTTAAACCTGGAACAAGCCCTGGCTGGAACAATGCAGCCTGACTACACACCACAAGCCTCACAAATAGTCACAAATGTCAGGGTCATTCTGGAAATACACGGATCAATAAGATCGACTTTAATGTTTTTCTTTTGTCATAAAGCTTCCCTTATCACTGACATCTATCTTGTGCAGTAATTCATACAAAGTAATGATTTACTCAGGATAGGAAAGAACCCACGTGACAGCAGCCAGAGCTGCACCAAGCACCCAGCAGTGTGGCACCAGCAGCACAGACTGCAGCACCAGCACTCATCTGGAGAGCAGGATTTGGCCTTCGCCCACCAACACCAACACTGCTGAGCAGGCTGGAGGGGAGCTGGACATCAGGAGGGAAAAGCACGCACTGCAAATCTGTGAAGTGGGAGAAGATGAGAGGTAGTGAAGGGGTTAACAGCCTCCCCAGACTCAATGCATGAACTGAGGACAACTTTTTAAAGCTCGTGCACGTTTGGAGCAGTAAGGAGGACCTTGTTTCCCTGAATAGCAGCTGGCCTCTTGGAAATCTGCAGGAAGATCAAAAGGCCAACACTTTCCAAAAATCAGAGTCCCGGTATTTACTTAAATAGCCAACTGTAAATAATAATAAATAGGATCAGAGGAGTTGCAATTTATTTGCAATCATCTCATTTTTGTCCTAAGGCCAAGCAGTGCAAGAGTAACACTGACAATTAAAAACCCTTCAAACTACGAAAATCAGCGTAAGAGCAAAAACCAAAACTGAACTAGGGAAAGAAGTTTGAGTATGGTCTGCAGGGCCTGCCTCTATGCTATGAACCAATACCAAGCTATGGTCCGATCCTATAAAGCAGCTGAAGTAGGAAATACCACGTACAGCTCTAAGCACCGATTTTTAACAAGGGAACTATTCGCTTAAGATGACACATCCAGCACCTTCCAAAACTCCTGCAATTTACAGATCAGTAAGTTTAACAAACCTTGCAGAGTATGCCTCAAACAGAGTGAAAACACAGTCACGAAACCAATTCATTTTCTGAAAACGCACGCCTTACAATTTTCACCAATAATGCAAAATGACATCAGTGCTTTATCTTCTATTCCAATGAGTAAAAAGAGAACGCAGTCACCTGCTGTGCAGATTGTGAAGACAACTTGAACCGAGTCGAAGAAGAAGAACATAACAAGGAGAGACACAGACGCTCCGATGGGCAGGAACAACGCCTGCGTGGAATCGATGGTTTGAATACCTGCAGAAGAAAGAAGGTGACACCACATGTGGGCTCCTTCATACCAGCCACATGCCTGAAGCCTGTCCTGACCGACGGACACCACTCTGGGTTTGAACACCGTGCTTCATGTCAGTGCTGGTCAGTGCTATAGAAATTCACTCTGTCCTGCAGCTCTGAAATGACACAGCTTTGGCAGGGAGCGTGGGCACCAACAGGACTGCTCTGTTGTAGCTCGAGAACTGAAAGCTGAAAGCAGACTCGTGTTTTGTTGGGTTTTTTTCCTCTGGTGCCACAGACAGAATGAATAACAAGTTAAAAATTAACATTAACTTGTGATTATGAATCACATACGTATGCACAAACCTATACACAAATACACACACAAGTATACATACACACAAACTCTGTATGTGTGTAGAAGCGTGTGCATTTTTTCCAGTAAAGCTGCATAGTAATGGGTTGCTTACAGAACTCACAGTTACCAACATATTTAGGGATGTCAAAAAGCCCTCATGGAAATGAAAAGAAACACGATTGCTGTCAACAGTATGTTGTAATTTTTGTAAAAGAAAAGCAGAACCGTGATCACAGCCATCACATTGCTTACACTGCACGAACCCTTGGTACTTCTGTTACTGAGCAGTGACAAAAGGCTAAAGCACAACACAGACAGCCCAGTGATGACAGCACCGAGACAGAAAGTCCTGTGTCCTAATCTGCAGCTTGCATCTAGTTCCTCCTGCCTTGAGAAATGGAATTTATTTACATGCTCTTCCATTTCCCAAGGAAAAAAACAGAAGTGACATATGACAAACTGCCCTGGCGTATGGGAATTAGGGTGTGCAGTGTTAAATGTCAAAGTTCTTCATTTCAGTTCTGATCAGTTTGATGGCTGATCCCCTTGCTGCGCTCACATGCCCAAAGCCCAGCAGTTCACTGCTGAACCACCTCTGTGCTGGAACTGTGCTGCCAATGGTTAAAAAATCCCCAATGCCACCAAAACACATCCCCCTTGTTATTATGTATTAATTTCAAGCTGTATCTCTTGTCTGAAACAAAGCCACCTCAGCATCCAGAGGTCTGTGCACAGGGCTCACCTGTCCCAGACCCATGTCTTCCACTTGCTGAAACTTCATTCCAGAGTCTGTTCTCAGAGCACAGCCACGTATGTTACTGTAAATTACACCCAGGTGTGAATGTACAGCACATTGTGTACAACACATTCCACTCCAGTTGTTCACATATACATTTTTGCTTGCAAAACAGCGTATCCCTGATGGCCAAGCTGCCTGGAATCCATTCATCCAGTAACAGAGGGGACAGCCCCTGCATCGGAGCTGACAGGTTAATCTCTGCTCTGAAAGGGCCATGTGTACACATGCTTTGTTTCCATTTTACATGAGCACCCAAAGCCATGTGAAAGCTATACTCCAGTATCTGTGTTGATAAAGCTGAATCATCCCTATAGACTCATTAGCATAGCATGAGATTAAACCTCTAATTGTCTGCAGACAGGCCAACATGTTGTGTCACTGTGATAAACACCAGACAAAGAGAAATTAATTACACTGCCTTCCATAACCCTATTTCAAATATAAAAATAAAAGCAGTTTTCATATCCAGCAGGACCTGACAAATTGCACAGCATGCAGTTTCTATGCGTTATGGAAACACAACACTGATGGCTTAAACCCAGTTTCCGTGGACACACGCTGAGTTTCTGAGCTCCACACTACAGCAGGTGGAGCTGCAAAGCACGAGCTGACACACATGGCTGGGTGAAACAAAAGATGCAACACACTGAAGTGATGAAAAAAAGGTAAGGAGTAAAGCTGACCCTTACTGTTATTGGTGCTGTTGCCGTTAAAAGACCCAGCCGTGCTGCTGTTGTCCTTCTCTTTGTCTTGATTCTCAAAGTCCATGTTGAGAGACCTGCAGGAAAGAAAAGCAAGCTTAGCAGGCGAATTTCAAACTCCCATCTGGGTTCGCTGGCTGTGGTCTCATTACCACCCCGCTACAACAGCAGCTTCCCCACGAGAAAGCCCTCATTTGTTTTTTAAGAGCTGGTTATTAAAAAACAGCCCACCATACACACCAGGAATTACACACACAGCCCGTGGTTACAGTGAGGCACCCAACCACACTTGGTCTGGTACTGAGTCTGACACTGCACTGGCAGCTGTTAACAACAAACCACAACACAGATATTGTCTGTGTTACCTGGAAACTCAGAATGTGACAGAAACACAACAAAAGTTTCAATTCTCTTATGTTTCAGAACTCTGAAGTTCTCATTTTAGTGCCTCATGGTTCAAATCTAAGAAGAGGGGTTCATCTTCAACATCACGTTATTTTCTTCCTCTCACTCTTCTAATAAAGGATGATCAAAATTTGCTTTTATGTAATTCTCTGCTGAATAAGGAAGCCCTTAGTTAACTGAAACAGCTTCAGCAAAGCCTAGAAAGTCACCACATATGTACCTGAGACAGCACAAATGAGGAGAGGAAGCTCTCCCGAAATGCTACACATTGATTCCTCAGCAGCTGACATTCCCCTGCCTGCAGACTGAGCTCCAGTTGATTCATCTTCTCATTTTTATCTGTACACCAAACAAAAATCCCAAACAACACACTACTCTGTCACTTTCACCATAGTCCTTCACTTCTGTGCAGTTTCTAGATTACATTCCAACAAATTTTGGCTTAACTTTCTGAAAGGAGGGAATTCCATGTAGGAGCTGTTTTGGGCAGCAGTCATTTCCTACCATTAACTTCTATGTTGTTTCATACAAAAACCCTGGCCATCCAATTTACCACAATAGTTTCTCCTTCTCCTAACATGCATGCAAATTATCCAGGACACTGCTGTAGATTTATTTATTCAAATAAGCTGTAGGGAGGGACCCACCAGAACCACTGCACAGCTCCTCCCTTAAGCCTTCTGGTCAACAAGCATTAAGATCCTTCTGTTCTTTCCCAAGCTGAGCTGCAAGCAATTGTACTATGCAAAGTAAGCATGCCATTAATTTGTCAGACTGGTAAAAAAAACCAAAACCAAACATCACAATCTTCTGTTCCATCCTATGGGTATCAAAGCTACTCTGTGTTAGTGCATAGGTTATGCAATGCACGGGTAAGCAATTCTGTGCTGCAATCCTACAACCTGCAATCAGTGTGGGGCTGCAGGATGGTGTATTACAGAAAGCAACTCATTCTGGTTCTGCTTCTATTACACAACTGATTCTATCGTGAAGTGAAAGCAAAACGTGGACTTACACAAACTATGAGGAAACTTAAGCCTGAGACATACAGAACTTGGAGCATCAGCTAAAAAGTTACCACAAATGCAAGAGGCAACAGGGAACATAAATCCTAACAAATGAACCCTCTTAGCTTGTTCCTCCAGAGCTCTGCACTGCACCACTGGGGCACAGCACAGCTCCCAGGGCAGCAGCCCAGCCCCAGGCTGCCGAGCTGCAGCAGCAGTGGGACACCACTGACAGCACAGGGTTTGGTGGTGCACCTCATGTACTTTAAGTGCTGAAGCACTAAAAAACAAAACAAAACACCACAGCCATTTAAAAGCTGAGCAGTTACCTCTGCAAATATTCACAACACAAAAGTAGGCCTCATTCTGATTGAGAAGCATCCACCTTCACACCTCCTTTCTGCCCATTAATTCACACTAAGCCTCACATTCGTCTCTCAAGCTCTAAAAGCCCAAAAGGCAGCGGACGGCCTTGTGGAATGGGTCCAAGGTTCAGCCAAACAAGGTACTCCTTTCTCAGAGCAGCATTTCACTCTTCTCTACACGATCTCAGCTCAGCAACAGCTTCACAGCAGCACCCCATCAGTGGCACCAGGGAGCTCCTCCCCATCTATGGGGCCATCAGCAAAGAAAACTGGAAAGATGTTATTGTATGTACTGCTCACAACAACTTCAGCCTGCTCTCTTTCAATTACAATACAGCCAGCAATTATGACATTACTGCCTGCAAATACCCTCACCTCAAAATGAAGCACAAACTAGGAAATTACTTCCCCTTTCCCTCAGAAAGCGGTTTGTTTCCAAGCCATCTGCACCAAGTTTGAAGTTCAGCCCTTCCCTCTGCTACAAATGATCACTAATAAAAAAAACTAAGGAACGGTCGCTAAAACACCCTCTGAGAAAGTTAAAAACAAGATATTCCAGAATTTACTGGGCTTTAAAGAAACAGCAGAGTGAGAAACATTTGCTTTTTTCATTCAAGGTTTTTGCTTCGTTTCCATGAGCAGCGTTCACACAGCAGCTCCCGCCAGGCAATGAACCACAGCTGCTCGTTCTGTGGGTCCTCACAGTGCCTCTCATTTCCAGCAGGCTTCAAAGCTCACCTCCCATGGGGCAGTGCTTGGCAGGGTGATGCTGAGGCCACGGCACTGAGTGAGCTGCTGGCACGTTACTATCATACAAGTTCAACTTCAACTATGGGTCACTTCTATTGCAGCAAGGCTTCAGGGAAACCCCGCAGGAAAATGTTCTTATGAAGCAAAGGAGGAAATATGAAATGGAGTGTGCATCTAATGAGTGATAAACCAGCAAGTTCCTCCTTGCCTTGCTCCGTATGAACAGCCCTGCAATTGTGAGAACTGGAGGTTGCTGACGAACTGCCAAACTTCAGCTGTTCTACATGAAACGGTGACAATCAGAACCAAACACTGAGCTGAGATTGCTGAATTCATTCAGATCTCAAAGAAGAGAGAGGCAAAACACTTGCTGTGCCCCAACACTGTCACAATGCCTTTTAAAATGTGCCTGTGAGATTAGAAGACAAGTTCTCACGCAAGATATGGAGGGGCAATAACTGCATAAAGCGCTGCCTAGATGGAGCACTAGCTCCTAAGCATGCCATAGAGCCGTGCAAGCGAGGTGCCACAGCTCTGCCTGGAGCTGCCCACCTGCAGCAGCTGCTCACACATCCACCTGCATGAGAACACGTGGGAACACTCCTGGTGGCCTCCAGCAGAAAGGCCTGGCCAGCCCCCAGCTCCATCCTGTCAGCTCTGCAGCAGCAGGTGCTTATGAACTCCAAGCACTCCCTTTCTCTTAGCAGCCAGCTATTTTTATTACCCCACTATTACCAGAATTAGTCAGACGTTTTATTTGAATATTTTGAACCACTGCCACAGAGATAAATCTAAGGTTCTTACACCTACTTATACATTTCACACGCAGCTGAAACGCACAGAATGCTGTTAACTAATGAACATCAGGAACGTGGACCCATCACGGTTGTTAGCACCATGAAGGACAAGAAAAGAGAAGGACGTTATCTCAACATGCTTGCAACCTAAACAAGCAAGACAGAGCAGGGAAAGCACAGGAAAACAAAACCAATATGCATTACTCTTCCATACCATATGTTCTATGGTCTTCAGGGCTCTAAAACATGGCATGCTTAATATGGGAAAACCAGAGACTCTTTGGGATGGGAAGTTCAGTCCTCACCTACATACAGAGGTACAGCTTGCACTTCAGTTCTGAATTAGCCAACGAAGACAGCAGTGATTTGTGAGGGCCCACAGTCACTGCTTCTGAAGCGGGGAGCAAACCAGCTCATATACTTCAAATGTTGAAGCATTAAAAAACAAAACACCAAAACTATTTAAAACCTGAGCAGATACCTCTGCAAATATTCACAACACAAAAGTAGTCCTCATTCTGATTGAGAAGCATCCGTGTAACAGTTTAAAAGGAGATACTAGAAGAGACAGATGATGGCTCAATCAGGCTTTACCATAATCACTTTTGAGTAGGTGATAGGATAGAAGATCTCACTGTTACCTGCCTGCAAAGTGACCCAACAGGTAAACCAGAGAAGTGCCTCTGCAAGAACCGTATGGCAATAAACACAGAGAACAACCCACCTGCAGCTAATCTCGTCTCTCTGAAAAGCTGTAACTAACATATGCCCTTGCATGCTGCATTTTATAGCTTGTAACTGTTTGAAGAATGATAGTTGCCCTTCTGACAGCTGACAACAAAGCACACCAAGCACAAGGGCTGAGGGAGGGTCAGAACATGTATGGGAGATGTTCAGAAGGGCTTGAAATTACAATTCCTGACCCAGCACAAATGAAGGAAGGGAATGCTCTTCCATTCACAGTATGAGAAGCAGGAGCTCTGCACTGTAAGCTGTACTCCGTTGCAGAAGCAGGCTTTACTCAGGATCCATTGGACATTTGTCTCAATATCTTGGTTTGGTTTTACTTGTTAGATTTTGCTTTGTCTCTGCTACCAGCACCAATCAGGACAGCAGACCAGGACTCCTTTGTTCCCCTGAAACCTCTTGCATTAGATTAGATCCACCACACAAGTGGATTTTATCCTAATGACTCACCCACCCAATTCCTTCTGATCCTATTACTGCACTTCTGTCTAAGGCAGTTGCCAGCAATACCACAATAGCTCTATTTGCTTCTTTTCAGACTGAAAATCAGAAACCATGCCCACTTTCTATGAGGTTATCTGAGGAGGGCTACTTTCTTTTAGTCTTACCACAGTTCCATCTGGGTTTCAGCTCATATATCTACTAAAGTAGCTAAATGTAGGAAATTATTTTCGCAGCATCAGACTCTTGGTCTGCAATAAGCTGGAGTGCTCAGAAAACATGCAAAAGGAAGGGACTAGAACAGGCATTTTCTCATTTGATTTGCATTCATCACCACTCATCCACTAAGTTAGATTCCTCTGGAGTATACAGTCCTTGTAAACTGAGCAACTTAGAATGTAAAACACAAGGCAAAATAGTTAAAAAGCATGTATAATAGCAATAGGACACTACAGAGCAGGTGATACTGTTCAAAGTACACTGTGAATGTATGCCAGTATGAAACTCATTCCTTGGGTGCCATTACACTGGAAAGCAAAGCTTCACGATATGAGTTCAGAGGGAGAACAAAATTTTCTCTACTCAAGTCTCCTGAACGGGGCAAATTCTGAAGATTCAAACTGAACAGACAGGCATTCTCAGGTACCTTGCTAGAATACAGCCCTGGTCGTGTTTCCCCACTTCCCTCTTTCACCTTACAGCCATGACAACAGTGCTGGGATTCAGGGATCTCTGCTTTACAGAGCAGGAACACACTGAATCAACACTGAAATGTTGCATTTAAAACAGCACTTTTGATAGTAATACGTCATATCTCCCAGCAATCCCTTCATACCCTCTGCAATACAATTCTACAGAACTGTCTTTAAGGACCAAATTCAGAGTTATCTTATACGTGCTTGTAAGCTGTCATACAGTTACGTTTCTCAGACACCTCAGCTGGTTCCCTTTTCTTCCTTCTCCATTTCCTTTTCAGAACAAAGAAATGTTGCATTTACATTAGCCATCAGTCTGACACACATACAGATAGATAAAAGACATAAATGATACCCACTTCCTTGTTGTTACATTTTACTTTAAAAAAAAGAATTCTATAAAGCCTTAATGAACAATCTTACCTGAAACTGCCATAGACTATGAGGAGAATAGAAATCAGGAAAGTAGAAACTTGACTGGAATCCACGAGGGAATACGCCCTGGAATTGGAAAAGAGAAGACAGGTGTGTCATCATAGGATCCAATTCTGTGCCATCTGCTCGTTTTTATCATCATACAAATAGAGAATGGGGTAACAAACCTTCATGGCAGCTATTCCTACTGCTCTCACATCATCTAGCAATACAAAATCCAAAGCTTGTAATTTAACTTTGAGATCGCAGCACGCAAAGTTTGTACAGCAATCAAAGAACAACTCAAAACCACAGTGGTAAGCACAGCAAGATCTGCATCCCTCAAACCCATGAGTATCACTTCAGTTGCAACCAACGCAACCTTGCATGTAAGTAACACCCAGCTGGTTTTCTCTGCCTTAGCTGATCACACTGCAGCTGTGATGTGGCACTGGAGGTCTCACACAGCCCAGGGAAAAGAAACAAAAATCAGTCCAACAACTCAAACACACAACAAAAGCTGCAATATGCACTTCTTAAATTACACAATTACTGCGCTGTTACATCCTGCACACCACACACAGGGGTTTTTACAGCAATTTCAGCAGGAGGCTTAAAAACCACCTTTGTTTGGATGGATTTCCAAACACAACGCACCTCTGTCTTGGTAAAGCACAGAAGTGTTGCTATTCTCCAATACTTTTTGACATACAGACATTCACTCAGAGGGTGGTGAGGCACTGGAACAGGTTGCCCAAGGAGGCTGTGGATGCCCCATCCCTGCAGGCATTCAAGGCCAGGCTGGATGTGGCTCTGGGCAGCCTGGGCTGCTGGTTGGTGACCTGCACACAGCAGGGGGTTGAAACGAGATGATCACTGTGGTCCTTTTCAACCCAGGCCATTCTGTGGTTCTGTGATACTGCACTGAGCTTTGCAGCTCCCAGTTTGCCTGCTTTGGATCCAGACAGCAGACAGAAGCTGCTCCTCGTGCTCCCAGCTCACAGCCAAGCAGGGGGAACACAGCTGACAGCAGAGGACAGATCCATGTCGTGCTTTACAAGAAGTGTGTATTCCCAATAAAGCCCCTGTGATCAGTAAATATAAATGGTCTTCAGGTGATGCACAGGACAGTTCATAGCATGTTCATTTTAGTTAACGATTATGAGTAAGCAGGCAGATGAAACAGTGTAAGGATGAGCACACTGTGGTTGTACGCCCTGTTACCAGCTTTCACCTCAGTGAGAAGCATTGCCTGGCCAGGCTTTGGGCTGAGGGAGAAGGAAACTCATGTCCTGTTTGGATTTGAGAGTAAGCAGTGGAATTCATCTATTAAAAGAGTTCTCAGGAACTCCGAAGTTGTAAGAAAAGCAAAATGAAGGAATGGAATTTCACCTTGACTTAAACATGTCCACAGTTATGCGGTAAGTTTTATTAACTGATGTTTATAGAACGATATATTCACAAATTGGCAAATCCTTCTGATGAACAATGCTTTCTGCATAAGTCACCATTCGCTGACAGCCTTGGAAGTCCATCTTTTCATCACCGTTACTCTAAACAGGGCTGTAAGTGCTACAAAGACTGGTACAGCAGATGGATCGGCCCTGCACATAATCCACTGAGCTGTATTAAAACCTGAAGGCCATTTTGTAACACTGAAGAAACCAAATATATGTGAGCCCATTCTAAACAATGATCTCATATAGCATAATGCTACCGACAGGCTACAGCGGGGACCAGAACAGCTGCGTGCTGCTTCCATACAAGGAAAAAACAGATAAACACCTTCTCATGCACAAAAGAGAAGAAGCAGGTGACAAAACTGCATCGACGTCTGAGGAGCAAGATTGCTTCATGGTTCTGAACACGCTGCGAAGGGCCAGACAGCAATCTGTGAACCACCGGTATTTTTAACTGCAATCTAAATGCATTCTCTGCAGGGCACCCACCCGACAGATTCCATATGCACAAGCTGGGCTCCATACAACGCGCCAAGCACGCAGGATGGCACAGTGCCACCGCCAGCCATGGCAGCAGGACTGGGCTGCACTCTTCAGCCCGAACCCAAACAAATGCCCACACGCAGGGCACTCCCAGCAGCTTTGTGCACTTCCACTGCACGTACAGAAGTGAAACAACAGAACCATTCTCCTCCTTTCAGTACTTCCACAACATTAACTATTTATTCTCAGAACAAGCAGTGAAAGCTCGGGCACAGAAAGTGCCCACGACAAGCCTGTATGCAGCAGTTGTTATTTTACTTAAATCCTGATTTTAGAAACAATTCTTCCTACTTAACAACCCATTCATTCTCATTCTGAGAATGCTAACACGGGGTAAGACCACGCTAAAGGCCATTTGCTGTCTCCTGAAGGCCTTATTTTAGTGCAGCTGAACTGTGTGCCGCGTGTGATATGTGAACAACTACCAACCCATTTCTAAGCTCTATTATAAATGCAGAGCACTCCTCAAAACACAGCAACACTGCTGGTTTTCCCAGCTGAGTACAATTTTTTCTCATACTTCCTCACCTGCAACTCAACCTCCCTGTGGGGAAGCTGGTTTAGAAGCAAGTCATTCAGATCAGACTATCAGACAGATTCTCGGTGAGTCAGCGATGCAACTACTAACCAGCACTGTTAGACCCAAGCACTGTGCAGAACCCAGCATGCTGACTTCTCTCCATCAGCTCCTTACATTGGCCACCATCAGATCCAGAGCTCCCCACACCTGGCCCAAAGCCCCATGCTGAGCCTGCACCTCTACAAGGCTGAGGTCCTTTTTGCTGCTATCCAGCATCTGTTCCTGCCAGCTTCATGGGCAAGGGCTCACGACACAGAGCCTGCTGAGACATGCCAGGACACAGACACAGCGATCACTGTTCTATAGCATGCTCTGTGTGTCAGCCCCACGGCCACACAGTGCCAGCATTGTCCCTACAACAATCCCACAGCCAGCCCTCCTGCCTGGCACGGGGCGCTCCGTGGGACACCCAGCCCTGCTGCACGGCTCCTCCATCAGCCACAGCTGCCGTTCCAGGCAGTGCTCGCCCTTCTTCTGGGAAGAGATGAGTAACTTCTTATTTTGTTTTGCTGTTTTTTGTTATTTCCACCCAGTCAATGCCAACACTGTTCTTTTTTAATGTTTCAGCTCTTCTTTATTGCCAAAAGATAGGTGATTTCCCAAGAGTCCCAACGGTGCTCCCAAACCAGCAGAGGTCCCTTCGTGTTGAGCACTGAGCATCCCTAACTCATTTTGAACCAGAAAAAGACAGCAGAACCAGGGACCAAACATGTCTGCTTTCTCAAACGCTCCACATTCCCAATCTGGCACACTTCTGAGCATAAAAATCAAAGAGGACCATTGGCTCAAGCACCCCCAAGCTTTTCAGGGATTGGGAAAGCTCTGCGTAACTGAAATAAAAATGTCTTCCTATACATGTAGAATGAAAGAAATTCAGTCCCTCTGACAACGTTTCAGGAGAAATGCCATCCTGCTGAGCTCCACGTGTGGGACAAATGATTGTGAAAAATTCTGCTGCAAATCCAATACGGTCAGGGTGACAGAGCACAGGAACAGGCTGCCCAGAGGGGTGTGGAGTCTCCTCCTATGGAAGTATGGAGACCCACCTGGATGCCTACCTGTGTGACCTGCTGTAGGGTACCTGCTTTAGCAGGGGGGTTGGATTTGATGATCTCTTGAGGTCCCTTCCAGCCCCTGCCATTCTGCTGCCCGTGCCCTGAAGTCTCCAAAGCAATGCGTGCTGAGGGCCTCGGCCATGAATCATCCTCATACAGAAGTGATGTGACAGCAGCAAGATAAACTTCTGCACAAACTGTACATAGACCAGAATGCAAAGAACAGAGCAGCAAATAGAGCAGAGCAACACATACAGCACAACCACTTGAAAAGCACACTGGATAAACTATCATCACTCAAGTTTGCACAGACAGACTCATTTCACCATTTTTCAATCTTTTTTTTTTTTTAATCAGTGATTGCAATGTCCAAATGCTTTAAGAATTAGGGGAAATTAAAGTACAAAAGGAAGGTGAATGTATGAGATATGCAAGAGCATGGATGCATTAAAATACTAAACAAAGTAAAAGCTCCTTCTCTAAACGGACCAAACCACAACTTGCAGATATCCATCACAGCATCACAGAAACAGGCAATGATAAGAATGTCAGGAGATCATTTAATTCATGAAGGTACACTTCAACCTTACTTTGGGGAAGGACACTCAACCAGCCATGACTGACCTCACCTGTTGTATGAAGCACTCATCAATGAAAGCACAAGGCCTGACTTACCCATACTCTTCCTCCCATGCAAAGTCCTTCCACACTCCTGGTACACACACAGCTCAGGTTCAGGACCCGTGAAGAACAGCCCCATAGAACTTCATGTATCTTCACATTCAAAGCCACAACTACTGATTCATTCAATATGGTACTTTTCATCTACAGTTAAAATACCACTTTCGCTACCAAATGCCCACTGTCCCCTCACTAGATAACCAGCAATAATCCCCATCCATCAAAACACACATCCTACCTTTCCAACTTCTTTTCTCTTCCAAAAGAAACTCTGTAGGTGCCTACCAGCACCGAAAGGGCCACCATGAAACATCCCCTTTCTCATCCAATTACTCATCAATTGTTTCCAGAACTCGCTGAATGCAAGCATTTGGTTTGGCTGCCCTACCTCAGCAGTCAATTTTTTCAAAGGGAACCAGATAAAAAATAGCTGGCAATCTGGTGTCACACGACAAAATCAGGGATGGAAGGAGCTCCCACTTCCCTCCTCCCCTCGAGGTTTAATATATTTCAAAAGCTATTTTATGTGCTTATTATGTCAGTGATTGCTACTGGAACATTCTAATAGAGAAAACGTGAAAAGGAAGTCAAGAAATATGAGTTGTACATCCAAGGCAAGGAAGAGGAGAATGTTTCCCAGGGCACCTCCTCTGCAGGTTCTGGAGCCATCAGCCACACGTAGGAACCAACACAGCTCTTCCCTCTGCTGCTCACAAGGAAAATATGGTTGGTTTGTTTTAATCTACTTGTTTCTTGACATCTGTCAAA